AAGGGCTGGGCCCAGACCTCTGAATCTTAAAGAGGAGCAGCGGCCCACAGCAGCTGCACTAGACTCTCTGGAAGGAGTGCACAGGGCCAAAACTCTGACCATGACCTGGGACGGGCTACCCACGCAGCCGCTGCTGCTGTTGCTATTGCTGTTGTTCGCTGCGGGCTCAGGGTCCGCTTTAGCGGGGTGCCCCGGCTGCGGGCCAGGGGTACAGACTGGCTGTCGCGGGGGCTGCGTGGGGGAGAAAGACGCGGGATCGCCTGCAGAAGGCTGTACAGAAGCCGGAGGCTGTCTCAGGAGAGAGGGGCAACCGTGCGGGGTCTACATTCCTAAGTGTGCCCCAGGTCTGCAGTGCAAACTCCGAGAGAATGAAGAGACACCTTTGCAGGCACTGCTGATGGGCCAGGGCCGCTGTCAACGCGCCAGAGGGCCGTCGGGTGAGTCCATGTCTCCTCCTGCCTCCTACCTCCCCACCTCAGATAGGAGAAGCTAGTCTCTCCTGGTAGGAATCTGGACAGACGCAGGTGGGCAGCCTCTGCAGAAACATCAGGGGACAGCTATGAGGTTGCTGGGGGCACCTTAGAATAAGGAAGAGAGATGTCTGGACTCTTGGCTGCTGTCCCTTTCCCCTTTTATTTTCTCCTGAGAGAAAGGGGCGTATGTAGGAGGAGGATGGAGTCTTTGAGTTTTAGATTTCCTCTGTACCCCCGCAGGATCAGCGCCATCGTTCTCGAATCCCACGCTGGAGACAGGACCTAGATTCCTTATGGAGGAGAAGGAAAGGGAACCCCAGACTCTAGTTCCACACATTAAGAAATGTCTCCTGCTCCTCATTCAGTGCCGCTGTGAAGTGGGCACTATGGGCAGTGGGCACTGGGGGCAGCAGGCACTGCGGGTAGCAGACACGGGGCAGTGGGCTCCACGGGGAGCAGACACAGGGCAGTGGGCACCGGAGGCAATGAGCACCGGGGGCAGTGGACACCGGGGGCAGTGGGCACCGCGGGCAGTGGGCACCGCGGGCAGTGGGCACCGCGGGCAGTGGGCACCGCGGGCAGTGGGCACTGGGAACCGGGGGGCAGCCGGTACTGCGGGGAATGGGCACGGGGGGGGCAGTGGATGCCTCGGGCAGTGGGCAGGTCCTGGAGGGCCTGGGGAGGACTGACGAAGTGGGAAGAGAAGGAATCTGCCAAATCAGGCTTATGATTTAAACCTTGTAGGACTTGGATGCCCTCCTGCCCCACCCTACCCCAGGGATGAACACAGAAGACTGAGTCATTGGGTGGGACCAGAGTGAGTCAGCACCCCAAAGATGGGGGTGAGGAGTAACTGGAGATGGGAGATAACAAGTCTCTGGTTTTTCCATAGAAAGGGATGAAAAATGAATTTGGATCATTTGGCAGTGCAGGCCCGTCATTCCAGCGCTTAGGGGTGGAGCCGGGAAGGTCTGCTCAGCATCATCCTTGGCTACATAATCTCAGGCCCGTCTGCACACACACACACAGGCACACATGAGCATACACACACACATACACATGCATGTATGCATCCACACACATGCACATACACGCACATATGAACAACATACACATGCGTGCACATATGAGTATACATGCACACACATGCAAAGATGCATGCACACATGCATGCACATACATGCACACATGAACATACACACAAGAACACATGCATACATGTACAGACACACATACATACACACATGCACACATACATGTGTGCATGTGCACACGTATGCATGTACACATATGCAGGCACATACACACATACACACACGAGCACACTGGAGTGAGGGATTGAAGCTTCAGTTTCTAGTGTCAGAGCCCAGGCTTCTAGGGCTCCTCTGAGAAGGTTTGTTTTGGTTGGAGAAGACAGTTGAAGCATCATCCTGTTTTTGGAACTAAATTCAGGGAATGAGAGACAAGGTCTGAGGAAGATGTGGTACCCAGACAACGCTGCAGAGGGAATGGAGTAAAGGTGTATGCGAGCTTATTTTTTGGCATGTTGCACCATCCCAGCCTTTTCCTAGCCCTGACTTACTTGAATCCTGAGCTCTCCCCAGGACCCCAGAAGCTCTCCAGAGCCAGGTGCACACTGCAGGTTGGAAACCTCTCATTTCCTGCCCTCTCTGCGTCTTTCAATGCGTCCTGGTTAAGAGTTGAATCCACGTGTTCCTGGACCACTAGGGTTGAGCTGGGATAAAAAAGGAGAGATTCCCGGCCGAGTGGTGGTGGCGCAGGCCTTTAATCCCAGCACTTGGGAGGCAGAGGCAGGTGGATTTCTGAGTTCGAGGCTAGCCTGGTCTACAGAGTGAGTTCCAGGACAGCCAGAACTACACAGAGAAACCCTGTCTTGAAAAACCAAAAAAAAAAAAAAAAAAGGAGAGATTCCCATGTAAGGCCCTCAAAGTAACAACATCTCAGGCCTGGGAGGGGTGGATTGACTCACTGAAGGGTCACAACAGGGACAAACATTCCACTGGATCCTTATTGACACCCCCACAACACACACACACCCACACACTGTACAATCCACTGTTTTCTGCCCATCTGCCTGGCCTGATGTGCCCTCTTCTGGTCCCTAGTAGAATAGGCAGGTCTTTACAAAGGAAGCCAGAAGGCTGGAGATAACCAACACTACTTTGTACTCATGGGATTTGAGGGAGGGGTGTGTGTGGGGGGGGGTGAGACAGGGTTTCTCTGTGTAGCCCTGGCTATCCTGAAACTCACTTTGTAGTCTAGGCTGGCCTTAAACTCATATATCTGCCTGTCTCTGTCTTCTGAGTATTGGGATTAAAAGTATAAGCCAACACTGCCCAGCTAGGATTTTATTTTTATTTCACATGTGTAGGTGTTTTGCCTGCATGTATGTCTGTACATGTATGTCTATGTACCATGTGGTTTCCAGAAATGGAGTTGTCTTCTCAGAAACTACAGTCACAAACAGCTGCTGTGAGACACAGTGAGGGCGCTGAAGAATCGAACTCTGGTCCCCCTGAAAGTGTAGCCTGTGTTCTTAACTGCCAAGCCATCTCTTCAGCCCTGTTGAATAGACTAGACTGGCCATGAACCTGTGGCAATCCTCTTACCTAGGCCTCCCAAGTGCTGGGATTATAGCCGCACAACACCATACCGAGAGGTATTTGTTAGAGGGAGAAATTGCAGCTAGGGTAAGGCCAGGAGAAACTGAATCCTTCAGTCCCTCTCACTTTTACTGGTAGAAGTGGACCCAGGCTCCTGGACTGCTGGTCTATGCTCTGACTGACCTCTGATTTCCCCTCCCATTCTTCCTGTGGCCACAGAGGAGACTACAAAGGAGAGCAAACCCCATGGAGGTGCCTCCCGCCCACGTGACACAAGCCACAGAGACCGGCAGAAGAATCCGAGGACCTCTGCGGCCCCTATAAGGCCCAATCCAGTTCAAGATAGTGAGATGGTGTGTGAAGGGCTGGTAGGGAGACAGGGGGCTGGAGATTTCCACTGGAGACCTTTTCATGGACTGCAGGAAGTCTGCAGGCAGGCTCCTAGAATCCTGAGTACCACCGCCATTCACCCCTGTCCTTCTCCAGGGCCCCTGCCGCAGACACTTGGATTCAGTACTGCAGCAGCTCCAGACTGAGGTATTCCGAGAGGGAGCACGCGGGCTCTATGTGCCAAACTGTGACCTCAGGGGCTTCTACCAAAAGCATCAGGTGAGAAGAAGCTCCCTGCCTGGGAGTGAGGAAGGGTACTTGATGCAAAGCTGCAAAAAGGGTGCCTGCAGGCTCTGCTGGAGCATGCCTCTAAAAACAATGCAAGGTGGTGGAGACAGGCAGATGGATCTCTGTGAGTTCAAGACCAGCCTGGTCTACATAGTGAGTTCCAGGACAGCCTGGGCTACACAGAGAAACCCTGTCTTGAAAAACCAAAACCAACCAAATTGCAACCAAAAAAAAGGGACACACACATGCACACAACTATTTCTTCCAATTTCAAGACCCACATAAACATGAAAAGCATCAGGAAGATTGTAAGTTCAAGGCCTGCCTGGCCTACAGGTGAAGGGCTGGTAGGGAGACAGAGGACTGGAGATTTCTGCTGGAGATCTCTCTGAGGACTTGAGGAAGCCTGGACCAGGCAGGCTCCTAAAATTCTGAGTGAGTTCAAGTCCAGCCTGGGAAACTTCATGAGCCTCTGTCTCAAAAAGTAAAATGAAAAGAAGTTTACAGTTCATTGGTAAAGCCTCTGCTTAGCAGTGCTCTGAACTCAATCTCTAGTATGATTTGAAAGAAAAATAAAGGCCAACTATTGCAGTGGAAGACTTAAAGTCTCTTCTAGGATAAGGCCTTGTTTGCAGTAGCCTCAAATGGGAGCCCTGGGAATCATCTGGATCACTGGCTGGTGGAGCCCTTTCTGCATTTTCTGACTCAGCAGGTCTGGGCTACCCTGTGAACACAAGTTTCTAACATAAGTGATGTTAGGCTCTTGACTGAAACTGCATTTTGAAAGCTATTGTTCTGGCCTAGCAGAATGGGCCCTATTCAATAGAAAAAGCGACTAAGAGCTCTCAGATGTTTCTCCTGCTCAAAGCCCGGACCTCACCCTGACCTGCACCTCTCTCCCCAGTGTCGTTCCTCGCAGGGGAATCGCCGTGGTCCCTGTTGGTGTGTGGATCCGATGGGACAGCCTTTGCCAGTGTCTCCAGATGGCCAAGGAAACTCTCAGTGCTCTGCCCGGGGCAGTGGGTGAAGCCCAGTGGACGCCTCCAGGACACCGGCAGGAGCACAGGGCTGTCCTCTGAGCTTTATGTGAAGTGATGAATATCTGTGCTCCAAGACCCACCTTCAGGTCCCGCCCCATAGTCCTGTCAGCCTTGGGTCTTTACACAGCTAGTTAGAAAGATGGTTGTTCATTATCCTGGTGTACTCAGTGCTGTGTGCGTTATTGTTCTTTGTTGCTGTTTTATGCCTTTGTATTCATATTAGCAACATATGAAAATCTGTAAAGAAAAAAAAACCCATATGATCTTAAAAAACAAAACACTCCCTCCCCTTCTGTAGCAGGAAACAAATTGCTTGTTCTTGAGAAGTTTCCCATCTTCCACTCTTGAGAAGAATTTAGTAGAAGCAGGTATACTTGTATCATTTTGATGTTTTGTTACTGTTTCCAAACAATGTACTTTGAATCAGAATCACTCCTTACCGTTTCATATACTTCCGATGCTCTTCATCACATTAGTGATCAGAAATGAGGTGTAACGCCCCAGCCCCTGCCCGCAAGAGCTAAGTAGGATCTTACTGTAAGTTGAAGGGGGTTCTGTCCTAACTCATGGATGGTGAAGGATGAACTGTTGTTGGGTCTGATTGACTGTTGATGGATTGTGGTGTGCTGTATCCAGAGACTATTGAATGCAACTTACAATGCTTAATAAAAATCTTTATTCTTTTAGTATAAAAAAAAAAAAGAAAGAGAGAGAGAGAGAGAGAGAGAGGGAGAGAGAGAGAGAGAGAGATTGTTGACTGTGTACTAATAAAGTGGCTTGAGGGAGTCTCCGGCTTAAGGTCTGTCTCTGGGGCCTCATGCTCATTCTCTCCCATTGCTCAGAGATGGCATTTCTACCTTCCCTGTGGAATGGAGCACGGCCAGTCTCTTCCATCGTCCTTGGAATACAGTAGATGGTCACTGTCACAGGCAGCAAGCCCTTTATCCTCACCTGGACACCCACCTGGAGCTCCCAGGACTGAGATCCTGGCCTTTGACTGAGATCACAGTGATTACAACCTTGCTTCTATCACTGACCTTTGGACTGATGGAGGAGGAGGATTAATGGTTAATCCCCAGCAGGAATTTGCCAAAGTAGAACTCCCAAAGCACTCACCTGCCCTACTGCCTACCAAAAAGGAAGGAATATACTCAGGCTCTATATAGTTTATCCAGACTACCTTATTTGTGCTAGCAATCACCTGATGAGGTAGGGACATTTTGTCCTTTTTTTTTTTTTTTTTTTTTCTGAAGAAGCTTAAAAAGTTTGGTCCAGTTTCCTGAAGTTACACAGGCAGGAATGCAGAGAATGACACAGGTAGGCAAGGCAACCCCTGGTGCCATTTACTGTTGAATAAGTGTGTGTCTGGTCTTTCTGCTTATGTGGCAACCTAAGGTGTAGGGAAGAGCTGACACTGAGGGGCCTCGACATCAGACACGTCAAAGATGAGCCCCCGACAAAATACAAAATATTGTTGCACACAAGTTGATACGGGCCTTATTGTGTGCCCTCAGAAAGCTGACTACAAGGTACATGAAGATGTTTCTGGTCCCTCCCTGACCTTCAGTCTTTGTAGAGAGAGCCAAGAGGAGCCAAGCTATGTGATAAGCCTCGGGAAGGCAAAGTCCCCCTCACAACCTGATGCACAGATTCACTCCCGAAAGCGAAATACGGTGAAAGCTGACCGTAGTGGTTGTAGCATGCCACAGGCAGAGCAGAGCCAGGATATGAGAAGCACTGCCTGCAGATAACCTATCTAACCCCCGGCGGGCTGTGGAAAGGACTTTAGTCTCTGGAGTTGTCAGATCTCTGAGTGGGAGATCCGTAGGTAGGCTGAGAAAGAAGGGGAGGAAGGAAAGGAGGAAGGGAGAGAGGGAGGAAGGAAGGAAGGAAGGAAGGAAGGAAGGAAGGAAGGAAGAAAAGAAGACAACAGCTGTGTGCTGTCCACGCCACACTGGCACCATGGAGTCAAAGGTGCCCCAGTTGCGAAGGAGAGAAGGGCTGAGAGAGGAGCCGGAGAATGGAGCCCATGGAGAAGGTGAGCCGTCCTCCCATCCCCCACGCACCGGACACTCAGGCAGGCCCGAGGTGGGTGTGTATGGCTGAGGAGAGCTTGCTGTTCTGGGAAGCCAGAGAAGACATTTTCTGCTCTCTTCCCCACACCACTCGGACTGGCAATGGAGAAAAGGGATGTTCAGAGTGTGGCCTTGGCTTCATTAGGGGTGAATGTAGTACTTCCTTGTTTTGGGGTCCCTTGTTTCCAGCAATTGCATCAGGTTCTTTCTCCCCAAGGGTCGCACTCACTGCACATGCCGGTTAGTGGCTCTACCCACGATTCTAAATATTGGCTGTGAGCACACAGAACGCCTAACTCCTCCCTCTTGAGTCCCCTTTGATTCTTCCTCCTAGGGAACTCGAGGACGCACAGAACCCCAGACTTGGTGCAATGGACCCGACATATGGAGGTGAGGGATCACGGAGGTCATAAAGGACAGACTGGGGATGTAGCTCAAATGGTAGAGTGCCAATCTAACATACGTGGCCTGATCTGAAGCCCAGGTAAACCTGGTGTGATGGCATACAGCTGTGTCCTAGCACTTGGGAAGTAGAGACAGAAGAATCACAAGTTTGAGGTCACCCTTGGCTACATAATAACGTCCAAACCAGACTGGGCTACAGAAGACCCTGTCTAAGAAATAAAAAGTAATCAAGGCAAGTGGCACACGCCTTTGATCCCAGCACTCAAGGAGGCAGAGTCAGGTGGATCTCTGAGTTCCAGGCCAGTTCCAGGACAGCCAGGGCTACACAGAGAAACCCTGTCTCAGTGGGAGAAAACAAACAAAAGGAAAAGAAAGAAAAAATAAACGGAAATAAAAAGATAGGCAAGTCCTAGGGTAACAGGAGGCAAGGGAAAAACAGGCTAGATGATAAAAAATGATTGCTTTTTTTGCCCAGGTGTATTGGCATATGGCACACTCCTTTAATCCCAGCACTCAGAAGGCAGAAGCAGCAGAATCTCTGAGTTCAAGGACAGCCTGGTCTATATAGAGAATTCCAGGCCAGCAGTCAAGTTACATAATGAGTCCTTGTCACCCACAAAAAAGTTTTCAACTTCACCATTAGAGTTAAGGTTAATGAAGGGTGGTATGGATACCTAAATCACCAGTTATTAACTTTTTCAATATTCCCTAATAATAATCAGAAATAAGACCCTTCTTTTTAAATTACCATTTATTTAAGATTTATTTATTTTATGTATATGAATACACAGTAGCTGGCTTCAGAAGAGGGCATTGGATTCCATTACAGGTGGTTGTGAGCCACCATGTGGTTGCTGGGAATTGATCTCAGGACCTCTGGAAGAACAGTCAGTGCTCTTAACTGCTAAGTCATTTCTCTAGTCCTATAATAATAATTATTATTATTATTGTAGTAGTAATAGCACTAGGTGTGAGTGTCTATGTATGTGTGTGTGTGTGTCTGTGTGTGTGTGTGTCTGTGTGTGTCTGTGTGTATCTGTGTGTGTATATTTTGTGTATCTGTGTCTCTCTCTGTGTGTATCTTTCTCATTGTGTGTCTGTCTGTATTTATCTTTCTGTGTGTGTATGTCTTCATGTATCTGTGTGTGTCTCTCTGTGTGTGTATCTGTCTCTGTGTGTGTGTGTCTGTATCTCTCTGCGTGTGTCTCTGCGTGTGTCTGTGTGATTTTTAGAAGTCAGCTCTCTCCTTCCACTGTGAGTTCAGGACCAAAATCAAGCTTTGATTTTGATCAAAGTCAAAGTTTGCACAGTAAATTATTTTACCTACTGGGCTATCTCAGCAGCTGCAGCTTTTGTATAAATATTTAAAAACCACACTTAAATTGTCTGGTAACATTGTTTGGATAATGCCAACCTAGATTTATTTCCCCCATCTGCAAACTTAAGATAAATAATCTGTTAGGTTTGTTTAAAATTATGAATTGGGCTGGCTGGGCGGTGGTAGCATATGCCTTTAAACCCAGAATTTGGGAGGCAGAGGCAGTCGAATCTCTCTGTGAGTTTGAGGAACAGAGTGAGTTCCAGGACAGGGCTACACGGAGAAACCCCGTCTCCAAAAACCAAAACCAAGTAGGTCTTTGGGCAAGAACCATAGTCAGCTGGTGAGATCTTCCTATTCAGAAGTCAGTGACTAAGGACTGGAGGTCATCAATCTAACAGCCTTGTCCCTGCTGTCACTGAGCTCAGCTCAAACTCACCACTCTCCTGCCTCAGCCTTCTGAGCAGCTGGAACCACAGGTGTTTGCTTCTGCTGTGGTTCTTTATTCTCTGTGCTGTCCTAGGAAGGAGACAGAAGTTGGGGCAGCTCCAGGGCCACTCTTACCTACTCCTGTTCCCAGCACTTAACTCCCAGGGTTCAAAGAAAAGTTCAATAAGTTGTGAAAGAAAGGAACAGCTGGCAGGAGAGACCATGGGCTCTAGCCTGGCTTTGTCCCATAGGCTGTGAAGACACAGTTTCTGGAGCAAGCACAAAGACAGTTGGCAGAGCTGTTGGATCGGGCCATATGGGAGGCTGTGCAAGCCTACCCCAAACAAGACAGACCTCTTCCCTCCACTGCCTCAGACTCTACAAGCAAGTGAGTCAGGGTCCCAAGACAGGCGCTTCTCTAGCTGAATGCCTGCCCCTTTGCCAGCCTTGACACAACCCTGACTTCAGCCTCCCTTCTCTCCTGATCACCTTCTCTAATCACACAAAGGCACATGCTTGCACACACACACATGCAGACATGCATGCTCATGCACGCATGCACATACATGTAGAAACACACACATGCCCACACCCATGCATGCACGCACACACACATATGCACATAAGCACACATATACATGCACACACAAGCACACATGCACACACATGCATGCACATGTGCACATGTATGCACTCACATGCATGAACACACTTACACATACACACATTTGCTCATGCACATGCATGCACACACACTTGCACACACACATACATACGTGCATGCACACACATGCATGCACACATGCACATATATGCATTCACATATGTGTTCACACACATTCACTCATACACATGGATACATGCACACACATGCAGAAACACACACATGCATACACACACAGGCACATATGCACACATGCATGCACATGCATGTACACGTGCACATGTATGCACTCACATGCATGCACATACTTGCACGCACATGCATTCACTCATGCACATGCGTGTGTGTCTGTGTGCAGACTCCTCCATCATCCAAGCCTCACTCAGCCATCAACCTCCTGGGCTATTTTTACTGCTTCTTATTACCTTCCTTCCACACGGCACTCCAGCATCTCTTCCTCTGGCGCCTGGTTCTAAAAACTGTCTCAATCTAGGACCCAAGAGTTACACCCTGGGAAACGGAAAGTTTTTGTCACCCGCAAGTCACTGCTCGAGTAAGTTGGGGATGAGGACAAAGGATGAGGAGAAAGGCTTTGGCTGGGGGTCCCACAGATGTCACAGCACTCATGCATGGGCTTTGGTGGTCTGATGGGAGGGTTTGGAGAGGGCTCTGCCTTGGCATTGTTGAGGAAGACAAATTAGGAGGAGAAGCTCCAGCCACGAGCTTGCCCTGAGCTCCTCTGCAGACTTCTGAAGATCCTTCCTCCCTGACCCTCGTGTTCCTTCCTTCCAGTGAGCTAATGGAGGTGCAA